TTGGGACAACACTTAGGAGTAGAATTGCTGGGTCACACAGGAATTCTTTTTCGCTTTATGGGAAACAATAGCAGTATAGTTTGACAATTCACACATGTGGTCTTTTGGGAAGCACAACACCCACAAGACTTCCTACTCATTTAGGAAACAGTTCACTTTTGGCCAGGTAATAGATAATGAAAGATATATACAAGGAAGGCTATTTTTCAGCAGGTAAGGTGAGACAGGGTTTTTGTACAGGAAGACTTCTGTTGAACCTGTTTCTTAAACCCAAGCAAGCATACAAAACATGCTTGGACGAAATGATCAGCCTTTACTACTATAAGAAGAGGATCATCTCTTTTCAGCCCAAGGTGGGCAGCCTGGGATTTCTAAACTGACATCGCATTATTATTACCACCAATGCCAGGAGATTTTATAAAACCACAGAATACAACAATGTAAAGTCACAGACACGATCAGTGCTGACCCAGAGCACCTCTGTAAGGGCAAGGTCAGAAGAGACCTACAGGAGTATCTTTCACTCCACTCCACAACTTCTGCATCTCAGTCTCTCAAAAACATACATTCTTATAATCATGTAACAGCCTAAAATTATACTTAAAATACAAGCAATAAAACGCAATGTTAGGAAAAAAGATGAGCCGTTAAAGGGAGCTAAATGGGCAGTTCTAATAGAATCACCATCTAACACAATCAGAACACTCTTTATCTCATGTGAACTTTACAACACCATGAGGCAGGTCAGCCCAGTGTTCAGCCCTTTGAGTAAATGAGGAAAAGAAGGTTGAGAAGACTGCTTTACATTTTTTTTAATGCTCCTGACATTAGCCTCTGTATCACATTAAAAAAAAAAAGGGTGAGTTTAGCTGTAAAACTTTAAAACCACTGTATCTGACTACATTCTAGGTCTGCCCCCAAAATAAAAAGCACTGACTTAGTTGGGTTTATATATTTAGAAAACAGAAAAATAATGCTCAAAATAAGTCATCTCATATAAAAGGAAATTTTATTTTTATTATCCTCACCCATGCCTGAAATGTTTAATGACTTCTCTAAGACACTTTGTCCTAAATAGCACCCTGCCTCAAATCTTAATTTTTAGGTTTTGAGGCACTAAATGAGTATTTAACTCAAAATTCTGATATATATAATAAGAGAAATCTGAAGTTTAAAGGACTTGTGCAAAATGTGTCATTTATTATGTGCAGACATACAGGCTACAGACATTTATGGCTACAGGTTAGTTATATAGCTATAACTAGTCAATTTAGCAAAGCCTGAGCCCCAGGCTGTAAATAACAGCTACAAAACTGACTCTAGTGGCCCAGAGTTCACCAGCTATCTAAAGGCATAATTTTACAATCCAATGCTTTAGGAATCATTACAGTAGTTAAGACAGAATTCTCCTAAATGAGCGAGAGCCAAAACGCGGAGGGAAAAGCCTACGCAAAAGCACAGTCCATGAACTGGGAAACTGGTTAGGGTTCTATTTATATGTACAGACACGATAGTTCAGAGATGCTAAGGAATTTGACTTTAATGGCAATACACAGTAATTTTTAAAATACAGTTTAAAATACTTTTGAGGTCACTGAATGTATGAAATAAGAGAATGAAAAAACTGGCTTAAAACTCAACATTCAAAAAACTAAGATCGTGGCATCCCATCCCATCACTTCATGGCAAATAGATGGCGAAAAAGTGGCAACAGTGACTTATTTTCTCAGGCTCCAAAATCCCTGCAGACAGTTACTGTGGCCATGAAATTAGAAAACGCTTGCTCCTTGGAAGAAAAACTGTAACACATCTAGACAGCATTTTAAAAAACAGAGACAAAGGTCCATCTAGTCAAAGCTATCTATGGTTCTCCCAGTAGTCATGTACAGATGTCAGAGCTAAACCACAAAGGCTGAGCGCCAAAGAACTAACACCTTTGAACTGTGATGTAAAAGATGACTCCTGAGAGTCCCGTGGACAGCAGAGATCCAACCAGTCAATCCTAAACGAAATCAACCCTGAATATTAACTGGAAAGACTGACGCTGAAGTTCCAATACTTTGGCCACCAAATGCGACAAGCCGACTCACTGGAAAAGACCCTGATGGTGGCAAAGACTGAGGGCAGGAGAAGGAGGTGACAGAGGATGAGACGGTTGGATGGTATCACTGACTCAATGGACATGAGTTTGAACAAATCAGGGAGACAGTGAAGGACAGGGAAGCAGGGTATGCCGCAGTCCACGGGGCCGCAGAGTAGCAGACAACTGAACAGCAACAGTCGAATATATTCCTCATTTTGTTCTTCAAAAAAACTACTCAAAACACTAAGGATTTAACTTGATGTGCTCAAACACAACTATGTGAGAAATTGCATTTCACACAAGTCTGAAGTTCAGTAAGTTCACATATATTTGTCAAGTGCTAAAATTACTCAACACATCCAGTGCACCTTCAGGAGAAGCAATTCTCCCAATGATTTGCAATAATCAATGGTTTACCGAGGCTACCGTGTTCCAACTACTATACTTTAATAAAGTAATGTAGCTAAATTTAAAGCCACACACTCAATAGTGACTGAAGAAAGGCAGCTCTACAAAAGCTTAATATACATTAATTGGAAGTTAATTATTCAACTCACTCAAAATACAGTTTACAACTGTTGAAATTAAAAATATTTAAGAACCAAGCTATCAAGCTTTCATGCTGAGTAACATTAAGAAAATTATAAAGAAACAAACATGCATACACTCAATGTATCACTTAATTCACACATTTAAATTGGAAGCTAGCTTCCCTGGTGGCTCAGAAGGTAAAGAATCTGCCTGCAATGTGGGAGACCTGGGCTGGATCCCTGGGTGGGGAAGATCCCCTAGAGAAGGGAAAGGCTACCCACTCCAGTATTCTTGCCTGGAGAATCCCATGGACAGAGAAGCCTGGTGAGTTACAGTCCATGGGATTCCAAAGAGTTGAACACGAACTTCAAAAAGTAGTTTCAAATTATCCATTTCCATCTCAAATAACAATGTACATTAAAATAGTAAATGATTCAATCCTATAAGGTACCAACAGAAAACATAAAACCAAACTCTTTTAAGTTAGCTCACTATTGGGGTATTGTATAACATTCTGTCAATAATACCAGTAAACCAACCAAAAGTAGAAATCACAGTTCACAATCCTTAAACAGCCCTACTGAAAAATGTCTTCAGAAAAATAAGGCAGTCTTTACTTTTAAAGTCAACATAATACACATTTCCCTCCCAAAATAAAAATGTCTTATGTTTTCTCTGAAACTGAAATTTTTTCAGAATGTTTAAGTATGTTAAAGCTTATCTCCCCACCACCCACAACCCAACATACATCCAGTCTGGTGCTTCCCCTGGCACCCAGGTGATGGATGGTCAGAGGTTTGACCTTGAAGGGTCTTCAGGAGGGTTTTCCAAGGATAAGAAGTTCTACATGTTGAGCAATACAAATCTCTCACAAGGGAACTCAGCTAAAATGGTTGGAAACTCAAGTGTACTGAGAACTGATTTTTTAAAGAAAATGATTAATCCCATGAAAACCTTCAAATTGTTTACAATTTTAAACTGTAAATTTAAGAAAGCAGTTTATGCCTTGATAAGCATTATTAGTTTTGAAACCATGCTTTAAAAACTTGGTACCTAGATCAGCTAAAACTGTCTGAATCCACAAGACACGCATGGAAGAGACGTGATATCCAGTATGTGGGTGGTAAGGACAGGGAGCAGAGGTACCTCGGGGAATGCCCTTGGGTTCACTACAACCGACCAAGGGGAGCCACAGGCCTCCAGTGGAACGAGGATGCCAAGATGAAAAAGGAAGCTATCCCAGCCCTAAGCCTGGCCCATTTCTCAACTGTTCAGAAGGAAAGTCTGAAAAGATCCTTAATAGCCAAGAGAGAAGTCCTCCAGAACGATTAACTGGCTACAAACTACAGGTTAAGGGCATTTCAAACTCAGAAAACAGGATAAGATTTTACAAAGGAACACTCCACAGCTGGCCGACATTAAGAACATGTTACAAAAATGGCAGTATTAAAGCTTCCCCCACTTAATCCATTAACCATAGCTTAGAAAGTTCAGTGCTCATAAGCAAAATACTCCCTTTAGTTTTTCAACCTGAGTATTTCCACAGGCGCATTTTAAATTGTGTTTATCACCACTGTTACTTGCTAGTAACAACTTCTTCCTATGCCATATAAATTTACACTTCTAAAACACCACATCCTATTCCAATTATCAATCCTGCGAACTAAGAATTAGCTTAACCATTACAGTTAATTTTCAGACTGTGGGAGTAATAGAAGGGAATAATTAATCTCTCTCAAATGGCGCTATTGTGGTACGTTAAGTCCTTCCTCACTTCACTTTGATTTAGTAAAATCATCCAGTCTTCCACCTTGACTCAACAAAAGCCAAATGGCTATTTTAAATAAAATCAAGTCATCACCAAACCCTTCAAAAGCGTGTATCAACTTGTTTTGAAACTGAAACACGCATTATATACACACAGTCCGAGTAAAGCAATTTTGAGGAAAAACGCCCCTACGGAAGAGTTTAAATCCATGAAATAATTTAAAGTGAAAACCTCTTTATCAAAGCCACAAGGTACATCCTGAATCGGTCAGGCCCCAGCCCAACACAAAAATGCACATAACGCGACTTGTGAAGACGCGGTGGTACCGCTTTATTAGCTTGAGGACAAAGAGCAGCTTCCTGAAGTGAAATGTGCCTAAGCCTCTAGAAGGCCTCCCAGCACCCCGGGAGCCACGAAGGGGCGTCCCAGACAGCTGTCCGCCTCAGACCACCCGCCGCACGGCGGCCGGGGCCTCGTCAGAGCGTTCGCCCAGGCCTGATCCCAGTGTGAGCTCGGGGTCAGCGCCCCGACGCCGCTGGCCAAAGAACAAAAGCAAAAGTTTGCAACAACGAGAGGAAACCTGCAGTTCAGAAAGGAAAGCAAGGGAGAGGCGCTCACCTGCAGTTGGGCGGAGGGTCTAGAGTGATGTCCGCCAGCTCCTTCTGAATCCTGGATCGGGAGGCGAGGGAAGAGAAAGACAGTGGTCAGGGGGGCGCGCGCAGGGCTGACGCCCCCGCCCCACCCCCGCCAGGGTTCGAGGCCCGCCTCGCGCACGCCGCACGGCTCCCGCTCGGCGGCGGCGCCGCCGCGACCCTTCCGGAGCGCCTCGCTCGCGGCCGGTCTCCAGAGCCGCAGCAAACCGCGCGGGCGCAGCCCGCCCGCCCCGCGTCTCCCCCGCCCCGCACGGCGCCCCCCTCAGGCCGCCCGCGTCCCCGGGACGCAGCCAACATGGCCGCTCCCCGCGCGGCCCCGCGGGCGCAGATCGCCCTGCCGCCTGACCGTCGGGCGGGGGCGGCGCAGGCCGCGCGGTGCCCCCGGGACGGACCCCGCCCGCGGCGGACGAAGCCGCAGGCCCGGCCTGGGACCCCCGCGGCCCGCCCCCGCCCCCCTCCCGGACACCCTGCCCGCGGCCCGCAAGGTGCACCGGCCGCCCGGCCCCGCTCGCCCGCACACCCTGACGCCCCCTACACTCCCTGGCAGCCCCGGCCCGCACCCCGCACCGGCTCCGAACCCGGGACCACCCCCCTGCCCCCGGGCTCCCGTCCCCGCAGCGCCCCGCCACTGCACGGAGCCCATCCCCCGCCCCGAGCCGACGCCGCCCGGCCTTCACGCCGGGCCCGGCCTTTGTCTTCGGCCTACCTAGGCGCCCAGAGCATCAGTTCAGACCAAAGTTTGCGGCCCTGAAGCCTCCGCCACCTTCCAGACCAGCCTGCTGTCTTTATCACCTTTGCTGCCCCCATCGTATCAAGCCCTAAAGGGCTATGTTACAACTTAAAATCCCACCCGCGCAGTACGGGAGTAGAACACGCACACAGTCTAAAAGCGATCAACCCAACGGGTGCTCTTCTCTTCCCGAAGGGTTTCTGAGGGTAGGGCAGGGCTAGCTAGCTGCGACTGCAAAAGGTTTTATAAAGGCAGTTTTTTTTCATTTATAAGTCAAGAGAAATTTACCTCCAATTGGGGTAGTGATTAGGGAAGTTCCTTAAACTTTCCGATTGGAGGATATTTCTTGTCCCCTACAAATCTGGTTAACTGTAGAAAGGGCTTTGCTATCTACTTATCTGTGTCCTGCTCAATTCTTTTTGCTATCGATCATCATATCAGCTCTGGGACCTTGGCATCCCCGGTGTTTGACTCATTATTGTATGTTAGGCAAAGTTTGGATCTCGGGCTTCCTGAGTCTTGACCTGCATCTACTAGAATGGCTGTGTATGTTAAGGTCTATGTACAGCGGGAAAAATCACCTCCCCCTAAGCACAACTGGGATAAATTCTCCTTGTCAATCCAATCTCTCTGATAAAATATTCACTGAAACGGGAGCTCTCTAATACCTAAAAAAGATAATACCAGACAGCTTTATCCACTTTATTTCTACAGCAAACATTCATACTACTTCTAGAGTACTGGGAAAAGATTTCTAAGAGTAATCCACACATGTTCCAGAGTATTTCTTATCCAGTCCACCTTCAGCTGTGGACTAAAAACCAACAAGCAGTTTCCTTCTAACATGCAGTTAAATAACCTTCTGTCGGCCAACTCAGGCTTCTCTTTCATTCTATCTCGTAGTATATGTGCCATTCCCAATTCTATTCCTACCTTCCAAATCAGTTTCTCAGAGCAGCATCTACAGGGTCTCAGCGACCTCACGTTTCCCCTTGTTCTTTCGTAGATAAGAGTCCCCCTCAGTTTTTTCCCCTTTACTATTAACCACAGCTCTGCTTTATGGTAACAGCCACTCTTTCAGCAAGATTCCCAGGGAGCTAAAGCTGATGTTAACTTGATAGATAAAATTACTGTTGGAAGCTTCCCACCTTTCATTTATTTAACACCTACCATCTCTTTCCCAGGCATTTTCAAATGAGTTTTTAACTTCCTTAGCGTAAATGGACAAATTGTGTCTAATGAAAAAAAAAAAAAACTTGTCTCTAATTTGCTTACATAAAGCAGACAATTCTATATTTGACACCTGTGCCTTTATCCCCAAATATATTCCTGTACACTAGGGTAATCCAGCAAAATATAAAAATGCTAATGAACTAACACAAATATTTTGCCTTAGGTCAGGCCAAAAGCTGCCCTTAGCTTGGATCAGAGCGCCCAGAGAATGGGAGCGGGAATGGAGAGAAGGCTCCATCCAAAGCAGGCAGGATAGACACCAGGCTCGCAGAGAACCAGCACAGGGCTGACCAAAGAGGGCCGCTCAGGACTCCTGGGAAGCTGAGATGCAATCAAACGACCCCTCTGAAAATGAGGATCTTGCCAAGGCACCTTGCCACTTAACTCCACCTCTACACTGTTCACAGTAAGCCAGAGCCTCTCCATCTCCTGTGCTTAGGTCACCAAAGCATTTTATCAACTTTTCAAATTTCAAGTCAGGGAGAATGACAGGACAGACTTTCTAGCTAAGAGTTTTGGTTCACTACTCAGTGGAGAGACCTGAAGCCTCCTGTTCCGTTTTTTTTAACGTTCTTTTAAGACAGACATCTCTATCTAAGCTACCATTTCGATTCCTTACTATCTTTCTGGTTTGCCACTTTAAAGTTTAATGACTGTACACTGGACAGCAGGATTTATGAAAAGGAATAGGGGCTCCAAGGAATCTGCTGTAAACTAAGGCTCGTGGGGGTCCGAGGAAACTACTGAAGGATGATGGAGGTTAAAAGTAGCTTCTACCAGAGACATAAGAGGGAGAGAAAAAAGAAAAAGAGCTACTGCTTGAATTCAACTTGTGTTGACAAGTGTTTTGTTTTGTTTACAACATAAAAGAAAACAGCATGAAAAAAAATTTGAGCTTCCCTGAAACTCAAGTTCTCAAAAAGAACAAAGAACCCCCAAAACAGCCTAGAATAACTAACTGACATAATTTATTGATTCATTAATTTGTCTCAACTCTCTAAATCAGAAAAATCTCTTTAAATCCCATCTGAAACATCCATCTCCACCTATTAAATTTTTTACTCTGCTAATGTGAGTTAGTTATTCCTTCCGCAATTTGTGGAGAAAGCACTATTCAAAGACAGATCCCATGTGCAACAGGTGAGAAGGAAGTAAGACGGTGATAGAAATCGTCGTAACAGAGCTGTCCGGGCAGGTATTAGTAATTCAGTGGGATGACAGTCTTGGGGACGGTCACAGAGCAGTGATTAACAGGACAAATAATTTGCAATCAGATCTGGGGGTCACTGGTTACCACTCATGCAGATTCTCACAAACTGCATCAAGACACGGGGGAGGCAAGCCACAACAGCTGCGTGTAGACAACGATCAGAAGAAAAAACAGAAGCAACAGAGAAATAATTCGGGCTTTCAAGGTCCTTTTTTCCCTTTTTATGAACACAGAAGCTTTGAGGAGCGTGTAGGCTACCCTCACTGGAGGCGGACCCAGTGCAGCCAGAGGCCGTGCGGGCAATAGGAAGCCAGCTCTGGGGGCGGGGTGGGGTTCGGTACCTCTTGGCGCTGGTGGAGAGGAGTTTGGAGTTTTTGCTCATGCTGACTTTGCTCTCCTTCTTCTTGGGGGTGTTTGCTTCTTTCTCGGTTTGCTGGTTGGAAGACGAAGACGAGGAGGAGCTGGTGCTGGCCCTCGAATCGTCATCCGACATAGCGAACCCCCCGCCCCACCCCGCAAACAGCCCCTGCAGGGGGAGGGAGACAAAACAGAAAGGCCGGTGTAGACACGGAACTCGGGCGCTGTCAGGAGGGCTCCGGCCCCGGCCGCCCCCCGCCCTCCACGCGCTTTCCCGAGTCTCCAGGCCCATCACGGCCTCCGCGAGTCGGACGCGGGCTGTTTGTCTGTATTCCCGGCCCCGAGTGGGGGCCGCGGTGGGGACCGGCCGGGAGGGCGGCGCGCCGCCCCCTCCGCCGCCCCCGAGGCTCCCCTCCGGGCGGGGGCCGGGCCGGCCCGCCTGGGGCGGTGTGCGGCGGCCCCCGGGGGTCGCGGGGGCCGGGAGCGGAGTTCGGCGAGGCGGCGGGGCGGGGAGGCCGGGGAGGGGCGAGGGAGGAAGCCGAAAGGGGGGACGGGGGCGGGGAGCGGGCGCCGGTGGGGGCGGGGAGCGGGCGCCGGGCGGGGGCGCCGAGGCCGGGCCCCCCCCCCCCGCCCCGGGCCGGCCCCCGGGGGCGCGGGCGGGCGGGGGTCCCAGCACTCGCGCGAGCGCCGCCGGGGTGGGGGTGCGGGGCCTCCCCGGCGGAGGAATAACAATGAGCGCGGCCACCCCGGGGGGTTAGCCCCGCGAGCCCCTGCCCCGGGGGCACGGGGAGCCCCTCCCCTCCCCCTCCGCGGGCCTCGGCGGCCACGGGGGTTCCCGGGGCCGCGCTGACAGTTCGAGCCCCGGCGGCCCCCCCACGCCTCCGCCGTGGGCGGCCCCCGCGCCCCACGCGGCCCGGGGTCCCCGCCCATCCCCCCGCGGGCGGACCCGGCCCCCCGCCGCCCCGGCCCCGCGCCCGGCGGCCGCCCGGGCGGCGAGGGGCGGCCCCGAGGCCCGGCGGGGCGGCCGGGGGCCGGCGGACGGCGGGGGGGATCCCCGTACCTCTCTTTGTGTCTGGCTGCTCCGTGCCGCCGCCGCGGCTGCTGCTGCGGCTGCGGCTGGGCCTGGCCACTCGTGTCTCTCTCTCGCCGGGAGAGAAGCGGAAGTGCAGCAGCAGCAACTATTAAACAGGCAATGGCTTCCCCCGCCACACACGCTCGCCCGCGCCCCGCCCCGCCCCGCGCAGGCCCCGCCCCCGCGAAGGCCCCGCCCCGCGCCCCTCCCCCCGCACGCGCGCCCTCCCCCCCCAGCGCGCACCTCAGCACCTCGGGCGCGGGGCCGGGGGCCGAGGTCTCGCGTGGCCTGGGGACCCCGCCCCCGCCCCCGCCCTCGCTGGGAGGGGTGGGGGCGCCGAGAACTGCCCGGGGTGGGGAGATGACCTGAGGAAGTCCTCTGGCAAAGGGCTTCTGCCAGGGGGACCCGAGGGTGGCCGACTGTTTTTTTTTTTTTTTTAAAAAAAAAGGTGCTGTGGTAGCCAGGACTTCGGACGAGAGAATGCCCCCGGAAACTGCTCCTAAAAAGTGATCAGCCTAAGGGGAAATGAGAAATCCCACGACAGGCTTTCCTGTGGGCTGACCTGGCTTCTCCCTCTGACGGTTTACCTGCTAGGAGCAGAGGTCGGGGCAGGCTCGCCTCTGAGAAACGGGACTTCTCTGCCAGACACGTGCCATTTTACAATTTTAGATATTTCCAGTCATTTTTATAGACAGAGGTGGTGTTTTCAAACGTGCTTTCGTGACAGGTAAAACCAACCAACGTGCGATAGTCTCACGAATGTGAGAAATCAATGGGAATAAACTCTACTACTGCGTTAGACTGGATTAAGGATTTTTGGTGTCAGAATTTGGATTAAAAGTTTGGGGGACCGCTGTACCTTCTTCAGCTACAATACTAATGCCATTCAAATAATCATACTATTTTTATAAAAGTCCCTCTAATTCTGAATTGTTCATTTAGTGTTCTTACCAAGATTAATTTTTTTAAGCCATCAAATTACAGTTATGTTTCTCACTTATTCCTCATTTCAATCGAAGGAAATTGAAGAAATAAGTCTGATGTTACACGTACTAGGTGTAGTACATTAAGCGACTGTCCAGTCACATTTCCATGGGCCACTCTAAATTATCTCATTCAAATTGCCATCCTTTTCCATGGCAACAGTGGCTTCAGTTACCACAGTACAACACAATTTATAAAGCCCGTGGCATATCCTCTAACCAGGAAAACAAGCATTCTTACCACCTAAACCCCTCCTAGCTCTCAACGTGAAACTCCAACTTTATTAAGACCCATAAAGTAATTGTGCAGACTTCTTGCTCAACCCTTACAGGGAAACATGTACCTACCAAGAACTGTCATGGAATCAAGGGGTCTAAAAGCTGAGAAAGAAAATATATATAGGTCATCATTTCAGCCTCCTATCTCCAGACAGAGCAATCCCTCAGTCGGTCAGATGCTTAGAAATTTTGAAAAGATCCCAGATGTGTGTTTGATTTCAAGAGTCCTAGTAGAGCATATAAAAATAATAACATTCTCTGCTGTATGTTATATGAAAACAACCCAAAAGAATCTGCTTAAAACCAGGCTGTTTATATCTTTGGATGTAAAAGATACAAATTTAAGGGAAAACAATAAACAAACATGAACTCAGTAGGGATAAAAAAAAAATCTGAAGACAGTTATTAAAATTGAGACTTCCTCTTACGAAAATTTGGGTTTCTGATTCTTTAAAATACATGTCTACACTGTCAGTGTCACCGACTCGATAGACGTGTGTTTGAGCCAGTTCCAAGGGTTTTGGTAATGGACATGGAAGCCTGGTGTTCTGAAGTCCACAGGGTCGCAGAGTCAGACAGGACTGGGCGACTGAACTGAACAGTGTGAGTACAACTAGTGAAGAACGCAGGAAAAGAAAAGGTTTGATTTGCTCATATGACTGGGATGGTGGCTGAATTTTTTCTTTAATTTTGGTTTGTGTAAATCATATGTTTGGATACTAACTATAATAATATTTTTTTGGAAAAACCGAACGTGGTATTTTGTGTTTCATCGATGCTTGGATTAGACTGGTCCCTGGGGAAACAAATCATGAAATAGAAGGGCCCCTCCTCTATAGGGAGTGCCTTCCCAACCACCAGTCTGGAGGGACACTCGCTCTCTTTTGTGTCCTAGTCTTCTTATCTCTAACCGTGGTTAGTGCTTTATGGTTCAGGAATGACCTGCCTGCGGAGGGGGGAATAAAAACCTCAAAATGTTAAGAAAAGAATCTGCTGCTCTCGGAAGACTATTCTTTATGTCAGGTTATTTTAAAACGACAGTTGTCTCTGTCATAAAAATAATAATAATACTTCATTTGTAACCTTCTAGCTCTTCTGCTTATTAGCTGCAAGGCCTAGGGAGCCAAATTGACCTCTCTAAGCCTCCCTTTCCTCATCTATGAAGGGCCATACCTGTGCCATAGTGACTAGTGAGCTGCAAGAAAGAACAAATGTGTATCTATAATTAGATGGTTTATTAACTGTTGCTCAAAGTAAAGTGTTCATAATCCCACCCTGATCCTACTTCTCAGGAATTTTGTTAGGACATGGGGTCTTTATGACTCAGAATTGATGACAGTTTAAGAAACCTCCTCAGGAGAAAGATAAGAGTGGAGGAATTAGAGGATTGTATTTACCAAATGGGGCCTAAGATATAACATCTTTGAGTTCAAACTCCTCATGTTGCAGATGAAGAAATTCAGGCCAAGAAACCCGGTGTCTTATCCAAGGTCAAGCAGAAAGTCGGTGGCAGAATTACAGCTGTGGTCCATGGTGTCTGGAGATGATTTTGTTTCTTCTGGCAGTGTTTGGTAGAGGGAAGAAGGGAGAGTCTCAATTATGTTAAAGAACAATATATTAAATATATTTACTATATAAAGAACTCTGATAATATTTTAAAGAACATTAACAATCAGCATAGTTGGGAAAGTGGAAAAAATGGAAGCTACTGAAGGGAATCGCTGAACTTATAACATGTGTTGCACTTGAACCAATTAATGATCACTATTGAAGTTCCCTGCTCCCTACTCTGAGAATAATCCTAATTATTTCTTTATTTCATATTGACAGGCATATTTTAAGTAGGTACTACATTCTCATGCTATATTGTCCTGAAGAAAAACAAAGGGTGTGCCAGGAAAATCTCCCTCCACCCCTCCCCCCAACTCTGAAAGTCAAGGGCAGACAAATGTGCATATATATAGTGGCTGCTTTGATAAGAAGGCTCAATCTACATTTAAAAGATGTATTCAGCCAAAAGGCCCAGGTGGTGCAGCGCTCTGCCATCCCTGGGCTTTGAAGAATTGGGCTCCAGTTTAGTAATGCCTCTTTCTGATTCTCAAAATGATCCAGTTCTCTTCCTCAAGCCATCTTTAGAGTATTAAGTATGTTTAAATAGAAGCACTTGAAGTTCAATGTATTGACTGATCCCTAGGAGGTGAAATGACATAGTTGATTCAAAAGAAAGAGACCCCATCTAACTTTCGAGCACTCTTATTTTTGGTTTGTTGCTTGCACGGAACTTCAAATATTTCATGAAGCTGATCGTTCTCTTTGGCCAATGTCACATTCAAAGAATTGTCAAGCAAATTAACATTTGTTACTATGACTTTTTAAAGCTACCTTATGACTTGATAGAAAGACTTCTTTTTTTTTTTTTTTTTGGTCAAAAGGAAAAAGCTCTTATGTTGGGAATGTAAAAAGAATTTCTATAAAGCTTTTCCGAAAAGATGGACTCACTGCAGATTTCATTCAACTTGTTTTATTTTATGTTGCTCCTTTGCTTGAAAAAGTCATTCCTTATACAAAAGGATAGAAGGATAAAGAAGATTTGCAAAGAAGGATCAATTACATGAAGCCTAATGAGATCTGGGGTTTTTATCTTCAATTTGGGTTGTTTTTTCCACAGGCTTCCCCCCCCCCCCACAAAAAAACACTGATCCCTTTGAAGGACTCTAAGCATTGCCCGACTCTATTGGTCCTGAAGGTTGCTATCACAAAGCTAGGACAGAGCTAAATTATTTTTTCTACCACATGGAGGCATTGAACAACCATGTGATTTTCAGAATTTACCAAGACTTGATAAGAGTCAAAAGGTTTCTCAGGCAACAGCAAAAAGGTGGGTTTGATGTGACTGGTACTTAGTATGGAAGCATTCTTCCCAGTTTATAATTTAGCGTCTCCTCTGAGAGACCTATTCTCTAAACACACTAGCCTTCAGCCTCCTATACGTTGATAACATAAGGTCACAGTGTATTCGAACATACTGGATTGCAGCTTGAGCAGTTTGGTCCATTAGTTTCTGAAACCTTTTCTTGAACAGAACACATTTTCAGTTCCCTGAAATTTGGAGGGATGAAAGAGTATGGAAAATTACTTTTTTTTCACGCTAAGTAGCTATTGAGAAACTTTTTAAAAAAAGATCAACTTTCCCTCCGTTCCCTGGTGTGGCAAATCTCGAGTCAAGGATCCAGTGTTGAATCCAAAAGTTACCTCAGTAACTGCAAGGCCCAGAAGCAGTTGGCAGCAAAGATACCAATGTGGACTTGCTAAGCCTACTTGATGAGTTCTGTCTTTGCAGCAGACAGGACTCAAGTCTCAGCCCCAAATCAATTAAACAACTAATACGTATTAACTGCCCTATGTATGCTAAGCACAGTGCCAGGTGTTGTGGCAGAAATAAAGTTTGAGAAGTATTCTTTGTGTGCTTTGGTTGTGTTGCCTCTTTGGGATCCCTTGGACTGTAGCTCGCCAGGCTCTTCTGTTCCTGGGAATTCTTTCTCCAGGCAAGAACACTGGAGTGGGTTGCCATTTCCTCCTCTAGGGGATCTTCCCGACCCAGGGATCAAACCCCAGTCTCCTGCTTGGCAGACGGAGTATTTACCAGTGAGCCACCTGAGAAGCCTGTGCCTTCTTTCAGTACCTTTAAAAAATCAAACCACTCTATCTTTAAATGACAAAACAATATATGGAGGCAGAAAAACTCCAGAAGTTACTGGAGAGACCACGAGTAGACAGATTTGTTCAAAAGAAGCTAGTGGTGGCTGGAAGGGTGAAAAGAAGTTGCCTGTCACTTGCAGAGGGCTGAGCTGAGAAGCCCGGACTTCATTACAGGATAAAAGTACAAGAGAAAGACACTAGAGGCATTTTAGCCTAAGGGGTGTCTTAAGAAGATTAGTTTGATAGAAAAGCCAGGAAGAAGAGGAAGAAGTCCGCAAATCAGGAGGAAGCCACTGGGGGAGTCTGGGCTTAGGGAAGCTGCTCTTGAGTCCTAATTCTCTGCGCTCATTTTAATTAATCACGTTTAATGCTGAAGCTCTGGGAATTTAAAGCCCGCGATAGGCGAGAACATGTCTACTTAGAAGTATTCTAGAACAGTGCTTGGCACTTAGTAGGTGAGCAGTACACAGCAATAGGAGAAGGGGACGACAGAGGATGAGAGGGTTGGATGGCATCACCAGCTCGATGGACATGAGTTTGAGCATGCTCCAGGAGTTGGTGATGGACAGGGAGGCCTGGCGTGCTGCAGTCCTTGGAGTCGCACAGAGTCGGACATGACTGAGCGACTGAAAGGAACCGACGCAGTCACAGAAGGCAGGGGATGGACATCACCCTTGGCATCGATAGTGTCCTCTTTCACCTCTCCCACCTCCTCCAGCGGCCCCTGGTTCACAGGTGTGGGATGACACCATCAAGCTCTCAATAAGGGACATGTGAGGTCTGTGTTGCCATTCCTAGGAAAGCACGCGTGGCCCCAAGGTGAGGCCTGAAAGACTCCTAGCCGCCCCTCCACCCCCTTCATGGAAAGGAATCTCAAGTCTTGATCTCAGTGTTAGAGAATTCCCACTGGAAGAGGCCTTGAGAGCATCCCTGAATGTTCTGTTAGCCCACAAAGAAGCTGAGGTCCGGAAATGCTGGAGGAGTTTTCTAAGGTCAGGCAACTGGTTAGCCACAGAACTTTCCCTTGAAGGAATCCAAATGGACCATGGGGTCTGCTGGCGTCCACATCGCCGCACCTCAAATGTGGGGTGCCCGTGGGGACACCTGCAGCCAGAGGGAACCTCCAAGGGGTGAGTGCGCCCTCGTCCTAGCTGGCCGGCACCGCTCTCCGTGGACTGGGCCGAGTCATCCTCTTCACAGACCCTCCGCTGCAGACATCAGGTCAGGCACAGACTCCAGGGTGTGTGCGTGCCCACACACACCGTTTGCTTCCTGAATCCCACTTACGGAATGGAAGACAGTCTGTAATCTCACGGTGGAGTGGGGACGGATGTTGGCCCTGCGTGACTGTGAGGCTAGAAGCAAACATCCCGGCATGCCCTTCCTCATCCCTGACTTAGTCTCCTTGAAAAGTCTCTTTAGGAACAGACTTGCGGTTGCCCAGAGTGATGGAGTGGGAAGTTGGGGTCAGCAGATTAAGTTTTAATGTGTAAGGTGGATGGACAACAAGATCCACTGGACAGCACGGAGAATCTTCAAAGTCCTATGCGTGTGTTAGTCGCTCAGTCATGTCTGACTCGTGGTTACCCCATAGATTGTAGCCCGCCAGGCTTCTCTGTCCATGGGATTTCCCAGGCAAGAATACTGGAGTGGGTTGCCATGCCTCCTTCAGGGGATCTTCCTGACCCAGGGATCGAACCCGGGTCTCCTGCGTTGCAGGCAGACTCTACCATCTGAGCCACCAGGGAAGTCCTATGATAAACCATCATAGAAAAGAATATATTTCTTAAAAAGGGAATGTGTGTATGAATACCTGAATCACGGTTCTGTACAGCATAATAAACACAGCATGGTAAATCAGCCATGCCAGGTTTTCCCACGGCCCTGGCCTTCCCCACATCTCCATCCCAGGGAGGAACACAGTTAGGGAACAAGCAGGCCTGTTTCCAGACCCACACTCCCTCTGACGGACAGTGAAGTCTGGAAAGTTCTTCAACCCGCCCAACTTTTGCTGCTGCCTGTGTAAAACTGGGATAATAAAACTGATTTCTTTTTTTTTTTTTTTTTTCATTTCTTATGGAAGTATAGTTGATGGTTAGAAAAGACCCTGATGCTGGGAAAGATTGAGGGCAGGAAGAGAAGGGGACAACAGAGGATGAGGTGGTTGGATGGCATCACCGACTCAATGGACATGCATTTGAGCAAGCTCCAGGAGATGGTGAAAGACAGGGAAGCCTGGCGAGCTGTAGTCCATGGGGTCCCAAAGAGTCGGACACGACTGAGCAACTGAGCCATACCATAGATGATTTATAACGGGTTGCTTTCTGCTGTACAACAAGATGATTCCGTTACACACATTCTTTTTCATATTCTTTTTCATGATGGTTTATCATAGGATCTTGAATATGGCTCCCTGTGCTATACAGTAGGACCTTGTTGATTATCCACATAAGATTTTTTTTTTAAAGGTTAAATGAGAAACGTCTGTAAACTGCTTAGTCCAGGGCCTGGCGTGACCAGAGCTACCATCGTAGAATCTAACACATTATTTTGGTGTAATTAGTATTTTTCAGGACTTAATCCAGCAACCTCAGACTTCCTTTGGCTGTTTCAGAGTTAATAAATTAGAAGCGCCCACAGCCAACCCTCTACCTGGACGCTGTTTTGGTTGCTTCCTGTCACCGGGAGACACTGCTGTGGGGGACCTCTGCCCCATTCTAGCTCGAGCCCAAGGCCGCATCCAGGGAGCTGCAAGGCCACCTGCTGCGTGGGGGCCATTGGAGCAGAGCCTGAGAGGCTGAACAAACAGGTGAGTCAGAAATCACCCGAGCTGGCCCAGAAGCGCTCCCCTCTCAGTGAGCGAGTCAGGATGGCCGAGTATGTGATGCTTGCGCTTCAATTGTTTGGAGAACTGTCAGGTAAAGGATCATTCCAGAGGATTTGTGTCTCTTACGCGGAATTCATTCTCTTTCTCTGTAGATGGCAGGTTAGTCCGGCCTCTTCAAAGTGTTAAATCAAGAGGTCTGAAAGGAAACTGGTGGTGGGCAAGCTGGAGTTTTCAGAGAAGCTTGAAATGCGAGGAAGTGTCTCTGGGCAGTCTGTGGATCACAGTGTGGATGAGTGTGGAAATGGTGGTGAAACCGTGTCACTGCTTACATGCTTCTCTGCTCTCAGATTCGCACACTGGATTCCCAGAAGCAATTACACCATCAACAGCAGCAGTTTGGGTTTGTAAAGGTCATTTTTTGCACTGTCTATGAGCTGTTTAGGTTCCATCTGTTCTAAGACCGAGATTTAGAACTGGGTAACTGGGGGTGAATATTTGTCCTCTTAGAGTTCTAAATTTTTACCATATTACGGAGCTGAGAACATAACATTTTTTGAAAACAGAATTTTTTTTCATATAATTGTATAGAAATTTGTATTTGGAAACCCTTCAACAGTGGCAAAGCTCATTACTCACAACTCTGGGTCACCCCTCAACACTGCTCTGTCCTTCAGTGACAGGCAGGAAAATGAGAAGGATCCTTTCTAAGCTTGAGATTTATGTTCCGATATTTAGAGTTTATTTAGTTCCAGTTGTGTCTTAGCTTAAAATAAATCCTTGGGATGGTGGTTGGTCTAAAGAGGTATATACTTACGATGTTATTTTTGGAAGCTGCTAGAGAATGAAATGAAAACTTATGATTTTCCTTGAACTTGGCTTGAGAGTAAGATCAAGATTTTATGAAGTTGGGGGTGAATACATTTACTCTGGTCAGACTTTCTCACTTGTAAAGGAATGGCTTAGAGCAGAGCCCAGAATCGGCAGCTCAAATTCTATAGATATTTTCTTAGTTCTGTCCCCATTTACGGATCCATCGTTACCAAAATCGTCCATCATCCTCTTATTTAAAAAAGTAATTATTGGTACTCCAATATATTTGCATTATAAGCACATATTATTAATACCATCCCATTGTTTATTTATTGCACATAAATGCTACCCAGATAATTTAGGTTTGGCCTTTTATAGGAATGGCTGGAGAAGTTTTCCTTAGGAGTATAGGGTGTTTTAGTTTAGTTTTTTAAATGGGACTTCTGTGTCCTCTCCTTATGAAACCTTCCCTGGGTCGGGAAGATCCCCTGGAGAAGGGAATGGCAACCAACTCCAGTATTCTTGCCTGGAGGGTCCCACGGGCAGAGGAGCCTGGCGGGTTACAGTCTGTGGGGTCGCACAGAGTCGGACAGGACTGAGCGAGCAGCACTCATGACGTGTGCGTGGTGTGGAGGATGTGGAAGGCAGAGCGGTGCGTGTGTCACCGTCACCGCATGGTGCACATCTGGTTGTGTGTGGCGCGAGGCCACCTCTGCAGCATCTTTAACATGCAGCTTCTGCTTTCTAGAAAAGTCCTTTTTTATCTGTTTCATTTGTTTCCTTTTTACTATGAAAAATTTGAAACATTCATAAAAGTAGAAAGCATAGTACAAGGATCCCCCATACTCACCTCAACACCTACATTAAAGAATTGAGAATATTTGTCATATTTGTCTTTTAATTTACTAAAACAGTTTAAAGTAAACTGATGTAAAGACGATTTACCCTAAATTCTTCAACCTGCTTCTTCTTCAAAAAACAAAACAAAAAACACATACCATCATTACACTTACATTACAGGTATACATTATTAACCTGGTAGCTCAGTTGGTAAGGAATCCGCCTGCGACGCAGGAGACCCCAGTTTGATTCCTAGGTCGTGAAGATCTGCTGGAGAAGGGATAGGCTACCCACTCCAGTATTCTTGGGCTTGCCTGGTGGCTCAGCTGGTAAAGAATCTGCCTGTAGTGCGGGAGACCTGGGTTCGATCCCTGGGTTGGGAAGATTCCCTGGAGAAGGTAAAGGCTATCCACTCCGGTATTCTGGCCTGGAGAATTCTATGGACTGTATAGTTCATGGGGTCAGAAAGAATTTAACTCGACTGAGCCACTTTCACTTTCACTATTAACTAGCAATAATTCCCTAGGTTTGTCTAAATATTCTGTATATATTCAATTCTCTGATTTCCCTTTAGGACCAAATCAGAGTCCTATTCAAGACCACGCGTTCTGGGTTTATTTTGTCTCTTTTAACTCAGAACCATGCCCAGCTGTTCCACCTCTCCTGCCTTTCCTCAATGGCAGCATTGGCTTGTTGAAAAGACTCGGCCAATTTGTTTTGCTAAATGTCCCGTGTTTTAGATTTGCTTGATTGTTTTTCTCGTGGTACTGTTTACATGACCCCTTTATCTCTTCTGTATCTTGTAAACCTGAGTTTCCCTAGAAAGGTGTGATTCATTCTAGTTAAACATGGGGAGCAAGACAGTCCAGACCTGGGTGACACTGGATCCTTCCTGCTGTGTGACATCGGGAGGCGAAGATTTCTTCCTTCAAAAGCATCTCTGGAGCACCTGAAACACGTACCACATCTCATGTGTCTTAAAAAACACCTCTGGACCTGAATCCAGAGCTGTGAAGTTCATTTAGCCTCTCTGATCTTCAGTTTTCTTGCAAGAGACAAAACCAATACATTTGGCACTTAGTGGTACTCAGTATGGCTGGGGGATTGGTTCCAGAACCCCCACTGAGGCCAAAATCCAAGGATGCTCAAGTCTCTTTATGTAAAATGGCATAGTATATACGTCTAACCTACACATCTTCTCATACACTTGAAATCATCTCTAGATTACTTATAATACCTAATGCAATGTAAATGCTATAAATGCTATATCATTGTAAATGCAATGTAAATGCTATGTAAATAACTGCCAGGATACAGCAAATTCAAGTTTTTAAAAACATTTTTTTTAAATGTTTAAAATTTTCACCTAGTATTGAGGCTTTTTTTTAAAATTATCTTTTATTGGAGTGTAGTTGCTTTACAATGTTGTGGTAGTCTCAGATGCACAGCAAAGTGAATTGGCAATGCATGTACACATATCCCCTCTTCTCTGAATTTCCTTCTGATTCAGGCCACCACTGAGCATCAAGTAGAGCTCCCTGTGCTATGCAGTAGGTTCTCATTAGTGATCTATTTTATACATAATATCAATCGTGTGTGTACATAAGTCAATCCCAATCTTCCAGTTCATCCTCCCACCCCTCCCCCACTTCCTTGGTGTCTGTCCATCAGCTTTTGCTTTTTTGGAATTTTTCCCCCCAATGTTTCTGCTATGCACTTGGTTGAATCCCCTGATTCAAAACCTAAGAGGTACTATTCTTATCATCTCCCTTGTATATCTGAGAAACTGAAGCACAAAAAGTTTAAGGAATTTCAGGCCAGTCATTCAGTCATGTCTGATTCTGCGACCCCATGGACTGCAGCACTCCAGGCTTCCCTGTCCATCACCATCTCCCGGACCTTGCTCAAACTCAGTTTAGCTGTGGTCAGACTGCTGGTGAGAAGGGGAGATGAGTGCAAACTCAGCTGGCCTGACTGCAAGGCCCGGGTGGGAAGTCACCACATGAAAGTACCATATATCAGCGAAGCAATGACCAGAAATACCATTAGGTGTTGCATTAGCAGATGGAGAAAATGTTTTTCTGTTTCTGCTTTTTTCTTTCTTTTTTTCAGACTTTCACTGATGTTATCCTATTACTTGTATAACCACAGTATAAATAGGTATTTACAGTGGAAGACATACAGCATGGATATAAAATTACAGTCAGAATCATTTCTTACTTACCTGCACTCTGCTCGTGGTACAGAGAATGGAATAAAAAGAATCACATCAACAATAATAAAGAGACTTTGCCTAGAGGAAAACAGACATATTAAGTGATGCCATAAACAGACACTCTGTATTTTCTGCTTCGCAATTCAGTTCCTTTTGTCCTCTCTCATTTGACATATGGCTCACTTCATAAAAACGTTTAAATATTGATTTCCAAATAGCTTCACGTGGTCCTAAAACAATATTGACACACCATGTGGGTTTTTGGAAGGATCTGTTCTGCTGTTTCTATAAAAGATGTTTAGGTTTTTCTTCCCCAGGATTTTTGAATCAAGAGGATTCATTGGTCAGTTATACTCAAACACCATGACCATGCAATTTCTCTTTTAAAGGCTGTGGCTGAGCCAGTTTTAAAAGGCACGGCCGTCAGTAGGTCCTCTGGGTTAAACCTCTCAGATGAGCATCTGTCCTCTCCAAGATGTGAAATCATACTTGGCAAAAGGCATCTCAACCCCCAGAACCCTCAGTCAGAGCCATCACGATTTTCGTCCACACACAATAAAGATAGCTGTGAAAACTGTTCAGTCTTCACCAGATTTGTGCCACTGAAATCAGTAGTACATTTTTTTCCTGCCCTTTTCATTCTGCTACAAATATCAGAAATAACAGTATGTTTACTTTGATAACTATAATAATCCCAATCCTGGAAATATTTACTGTCACTTATATAAAAGCCAATAAGATATTTGAGGGCTTCCAGGTGGTGCTAGTGATAAAGAACCTGCCTGCCAATTCAGGAGACGTATGAGACGAGTGTTCGGTCCCTGAGCCAGGAAGAGCCCCGGAGGAGGGCATGCCAACCCACTCCAGTGTTCCTGCCTGGGGAATCCCATGGACAGAGAAGCCTGGTGGGCGTTCGTGGGGTCGCCAAGAGTCGGACACGACTGAGCGACTTAGCATGCACACATGCAAGATATTTGGAATAGATTTAAAATGTGTATACATCAGCCTAATATGGGAGAGAAATGACAATGTCTCAGCAAGCTGTGGTTAAGGTATGTCACAAAATTGAAAGAGCATCTTTTATCATGCCTGAATGTTTCTAAAAAGAAAAAAAAAAGTTTCCTGAACTATCTGGGGACTTCCCTAGTGGTCCAGTGGTTAAGAATCCGCCTGCCGATGCAGTGG